TACTTCATTACTTCTGGCCCTCTCCTCCCTAGTCCCCGGTGCTGGAGACAGGCAGGGAGGGGAGGAGAAGATATACAGCGCAATGTTAAAAATATTACACATTTAAATCGCCATAACACCCCCCTTTGTTTTTAAAACATTGCTAAAATCACCTATTTAAATATGGTTTTGGTTAAAATTTATTTTTTTATCTGGACAAGTAGATTGTCATGAGGGACAAGTAATTGGGACACAGATTTAGTCCCTGGAAAAGTAGCTTTTTCAAAAATTTCCACACCCCTGCATACATATGGTAGCTAATCATGAATGGCCTGATAGCCAAAAATGACAGAGCATGCTATATGTTATAACGTAAATTTAATTGTTTGCTGTCTGTACAGACATAGGTTTAGTACAGTGTTGTCCAATGTAAGAGGATCCAAGGACCACATTTGTATCCAGAGGTTTAGTGGAGGGCTGCATTTAAATCAGCCAGTTTTACCATTTCCAATTCAAAATAATCAGATTGCAGCCATAGATATTGTAATAAAAACAGGAAAATAGATGCATATGACAGGGCTAACCTCCTTCCAGAAAGCGTCATTCTCAAGGTGCCCCCCTGCTTACCTGTGTATTACCATTTTATGCCCTTCTCACACCAGCTTGTATGGAAACAATGCACTGCCAATAGCACAGATGGGCAAAGGTTCCTGAGACGTGGCATTCAAAGTCTGCAATAAAAAAAACCCTCTTCATTTTAATCATTACTATAAAAAATAATGAACCCTCACCTTCACAGTGGAGACAATATTAACCACCTGTCATGGGTGTCAGTGGCAGCCCCTCTCTTTGTTGGTGTTGGTGGGCATTTATTTGAACATACACACTGCTGCATGGCTTTCTTCCTACCTAATACCATTGGGCTGGAACTGTACTGTCAGTTGGCCAGGGGATTACTCCCCCAACTAGCAGTGCCATCTTCCTTCAAGTTCCAGGTACTGGAATACAGAGAATGTTACAACACTCTGCCACTCCACATAGGCTGTAGCTGGGACCTCGTAGGTGGCAAAAGAAGACCCCATCGTCCACATGCAGTCCCCAGGCCACCAGTTTAACAATCTTGGTTTAGTGAATTTTTAATTGTGTACCACCGTCATACTTACATGGAGAAAAAAAACATGTTAAACCTCATATAGATAAAAATGTTTCCTATTGTACTGCAGTGCAATGTGATTGTATGTATTGATGCATTTCCAGTACAGCAATAAATCTGTTCTGTAATACAATTTTTTTTTGTACTCCGTGTAAAATAATAATGATAAATGAATAGTCATGGTAAACTTTGGATTGTTGCTAAGAGTGATGTAAGCGTGAATACACAAATATATTGCCTTCCTAGGACATGCAGATGGTTTCTGCAGACTGAACCAATGTTCCAGGAAAGTTTTGTAGGATCTGTAGTTTTATTTGTGATGAGCTCTATTTAGATGTACGTTCTTCAGCTAATTGGGATTGGGAGTAACGAGACACAATACATGCAGCTCATATTGATTTGCCGTAACTACTCATTACTACTAAACAAATCAATGAGTCACATGGTTGTGCAACCTGAAATGAAAGAATCACCCTATTCTAGTCGCTGGAATTTACTCCACCTCACTGACCATTCAAGCAAGAAATTTACAAACAAGTTCTAATTCTCTTATGTCATATATTAATGCATCCCATGTGTTACTTTAACCTTTAGGATTGCGCTGTCTCTGAAGGTCCTTAAAGCACTCTGACCGCGTGTTTCTCTTACCTTTTCTGATGACAAAATCTAATATAAAGTGTAGATAGTTGTTGACAGCTTAAAAATGACATTGCATTTTTCTTGGAGAGCTATAGATCTATACACATAATCATTACAATCACAACTGGGCTTTTGCATTTATCTGCACATTCTTAAATGATTATACCTGTACCAGTCTATTTATAAAGTGTTTTTATGTTTTCTTGTTTGTGTCTGCCTTTTCAAATAGAGTCAGGGGGTAAAGGTTACATTAACTCTCACAGTCCCTGCCCTGTTCTTTGCTTGAGCTCATACATTGCTTACTCAGAAGTGGGAAGATAATGTGTAGCTCCAGCATTTTAAAAAGCTGGACCTAATAGACACCAGGTGACCTTTTGCTCCCTCAAGAGACAGGCATAGGAAAACTAAATACAGCTCAATTAAGGGGGAGAAAAAAAGCAATAATTTAGATCAACTCTTCAGTCCCTATTTGGCGAGTTCTCTTAAAAGAGAAGTGCAGGGTTAAAAACAAATAAACAATCATACTTACCTAGGTGGATGCAGCATCAGTCTGATGCTGTAGCTGTCCCCCACCAGTTCTACATTGAAAACCGAGTTATCAAAGACAACTGATCACTCAGTTCTTGGGTCCGCTGTGAGCAGAGAACGGTGACTGTCAATCACCACTTTGTGCCCTTCCCCTCCAGCTTTCACTGGAGTGCTGGACTGTGCAGGGGCTGTGAACAGGCTCTCAGTGGTACATGATAATGTCAGGATCCCTGCAGAGCCTGGATGGGTTCTGTGACATCAGCTGACAGCAGGCTTTAGCCCACTGTTGGCTGCATTTGGGTCACAGCACAAAACAGAACAAATTGCACTCCTGTGACCCAAAGGGGAGGTATGCACAAAAGAGCTTTGGCTCTACTTAGGCATCTTTAACATGTTTTTCTCTGGCTTCCATCATTATGTATACCACCAAAAGAGGAACACCTTGTAGCACAAAGTGTATTATCCCTCCCACATTCTGTGACTGAGCAGTAAAAGAAGAAGCAGCACACTTATAAGCTGATCACACAGTTACTCTGATCTCTCCTCCTGTCTGCATGTTCTTTGTTGGCACATGCAGGACAACTTAGTCCTCCTTGTGTTGCTTATCCCTCTCCCAAATTGAGCTGTGCTATGCAGTGGGATTCAAGGGCTTGATACCAGGCCAACTTCAGGTATTTACACTGCTGCCATGTAAAAAATGAAATGCATTTAATGATTTATTAATGAATACAGAGATTGCATTAATGTGTGTCTTTTATATATTTATGGAAATCGGCTTTATTTGAGCAATGGAGTCATGTCTGTCTCCCTTTATGCTTTCCTGCTGTCTGGCATGTCTCTGAAATGTCCAGGACATCTTTACCCCAAAAGAACAAAAGCAAGCAATAAGTAGCTGTACTGGGGAGTGGGGACCAGTACAAAGCTCTTCTTACTTCTACTGTGTTCTGCATACAAGAATTAGTATAATAAAAAATGTATTGCTGTCAGAGGTCAGAAAGACTCTTGGTTCAGAGTTAGCCTCTTACATGAAGATTATTCACTGATCATTCAGGATTTGGAAAACTGTCTACAATAACCATAAAAAGCCTTTAATCCCCAACTTTTAATATAAAAATGAAGAAATCGTTTCCACTTCCAGCCCTTTTATTATTAAAGAAAGGCCAGAGATTTGATGCCGCTGTTTCAATTTCTTCTGAAGGCTTTTCCTCTTACGAGGAAGTCAGCTGAAATCACAGCACTTTGTAAAAAGTTCATGGGAAGAATTAATCTGTCTATAAACTAGAGGATCTTAAAAAATGCAGATCAAACACTGATCTGCTATGTGATACTGAGATAAAAGAGCTTCATTTGCAAACTCTTTAAATATTGGCAGGCATAAGGGTCAAGATTTTGTGTTATGGAAAGCTAGAGATAATTAATGTTGTTGAAAGAGAACTTTTCCATTGGCGTCTCTCAGGCTAGCCCCTCAGACTGGATCACTCATAAAAGAAAATAGTCAGGAAAATAAAAAGAGTTGTCTATTGAGGAATTGCCAATTCAAATGAGCCACAAATAACACAGATAAAAGGTTGTTTAATCTGACGTATCTCTGCCAGCCTTTTGATACCACACGAAGGTGTCAGGTGGCAACAAATGTTTTCTAAGAAGCCACAAGTGCACAATATATCAGAAAGCTGTGTAATTTAATTTAAATTAAGTTTAGATTGTAATATACTGTGTATGTATGTGTATATGTATATATATATATATATATATATATTTTTTTTTTTTTTTTTTTTTTATACACATATACAGTATATGACCTGAGCACACTGGATCCAATGGCTGTTTCAGAGTCTGAAAGCAACTGGCAGAATCATCAGCATCAGACAAACTTCTGGGTGTGTCAGATACCTGCTTCTCCCGTCATTCACTGTGATTGCAAATGCTGGCTGCTGAAGTAGGGAATGCAAGCAACACACCCAGAAGTGTGCTGGATGCTAAAGATTCTGTCAGCAGAATCCAGAAGTTCAGCGACGGCGTTGTTTAAATGTTGCTGATCAGCCAAACACATTTTTCTTAATAATGTATATGTAAAGATAAAATGTCAAACCTATGGACTAAACTATTCTGTCCCTTATAGTAAACATTTTGGCTAATTTTATTTGTAGAGGCATTGCCAGGCACTGTAAATAACTGCCGATCCTGCCAGTCTAGTGCTGATCGAAAGACTTCCTGTTCAGTACTAAGCATATCTGTGCTTGCATTATCAGGCTGTGTCCTCAACTTTTTTTTATGGACTTGAAACATAGCATCCTTGCAGTCATCCTGTGACATCACAGGCTGGTATGCCCCCTACCTACCCATATGGAAGAAAAATATATTTGAAATATATTTAAAAAATATTCTTCCCAAATATCTTGACATATATTTGAAATGCTACAATTTTGGCCATATTCAATATTTTTAAAAATATATTTCAATAAATATACTGTGTGTTGAAATGCGTTTTTTATTTCAAAATATATGAAAAATATATTTAAAAATACATTTCAAATATACTGAAAATATATATCTTTAAAAATACAAATCTACATTTTTGGAATGTATTTACAATAATATGTAAAAATATATGTTAAAACGACTTTTTTATATTTTAAAAAAAAAATCAGACTATATTTTAAAAATATATATTTTTAACCACTAGCCTACAGGGCACTTATACCCCCTTCCTGCCCAGGCCAATTTCCAGCTTTCAGCGCTGTCGCACTTTGAATGAAAATTGCACGGTCATACAACACTGGACCCCTATGAAATTTTTATCATTTTTTTGTGACAGAGCTTTATTTTGGTGGTATTTAATCACCTCTGGGTTTTTTATTTTTTCTTAAACAAACCAAAAACCACTAAAAAGTTTGAAAAAAAAAAAGTTTTTTCTTAGTTTTTGTTATAAAATTTTGTAAATAAGTGATTTTTCTCCTTCACTGATGTGCACTAATGAGGCTGCAGTGATGGGCACTGACAGGCTGCACTGATGGACACTGATAGGTGGCACTGATGGGCACTGATGAGGAGGCACTGGTAGGTGGCACTGATGGGCATTGACAGGCATCACTGATGGGCACTGAAAGGCAGCACTGATACATTGCACTGATAGGCGGCACTGACTGGCACTGTTAGGCTGCACTGACAGGCACTGTTAGGCTGCACTGATATGTGGCACTGTTAGGCGGCACTGATGCACACTGATAGGTGGCACTGATTGGCAGGCAGCACTGATAGGTGGCACTGACTGGCATTGATGGGTGACACTGAAAGGCAGCTCAGATGGGCACTGATATGTGGCATTGATGGGCACGGGTAGGCACTGATATGTGGCATTGATGGGCACTGGCACGAGGCACTGATGAGCATTGACACAAGGCACTGATGGACACTGACAGGAGGCGCTGCTGGGGCTACACTGATGATCAGTGTACATGTCCACTCCGCGGAAAGCCGATTGCCGGCTCTCCTCTAATCTCGAGCTGTCAGTGTGACAGCTCGAGAGGAGAGAAAAATGCTTATAACCGGCATTTCCCTATTTACATGTGATCAGCTGTGATTGGACACAGCTGATCACATGACCGAGCTGACATCTTTGGCTCTTTCTGTGATCGGTGATCCGCTGTGTCCGAGGGACACAGCGCACCGCCGATCGCTGCGCTATGCACTCCCTGAGCCGCGCATGCGCAGTGAGAATCGGAGGACGTCATATGACGTCCTCCCAGAACGAGAGAACCACCTTGCGTCCATCATATTACTATATGGCGGTTGGGAGGTGGTTAAAATATATTCTTCAGATTCCTTTTAACATATAAAAAAGTAACATATATTTTTACATATATTTGTAAATGCATTCCAAAAATGTAGATAGATTTGTATTTTTAAGGACATACAGTATATTTGAAATGTATTTTTAAAAATATTTTTCATATATTTTGTAATAAAAATGCATTTCAACTCACAGTACGTATATATTTATTACGTAATATATATTACTCACAGTACGTATATATATTGAATATGGCCACCATTGTAGCATTTCAAATATATGTCAATATATTTGGGAAGAATATTTTTAAAATATATTTCACATATATTTTTCTTCCATGTGGGTATCCCTGCTCAGCTTTATTGATGGCAGCTCCCATGTCATGCCATGGGCTGGATATCTCTGATGTAACTCTACTCCCTCCCTAGCAGAAGAGTGATGGCAAAGAACTGCTTATAGTTACATGACAACAGAATAAAACTAATATTTCAGGTATTCTTCAGCTTTTTGTATTGAAGTTACGTAATGGCCTACTTGTTAGAAGCAGATTTCACATGTTGGTAGGTTAATTAGCTTAGGACTAAATGGACACTAGTATATGTATACATGTGATGTATGGACCGTAGACTGTAAGCTCCTTGAGGGCAGGGATTTATGTGAATGTACAATATATATAATGTTTAATTGGTTGGTGCTATATAAACACCTGAATAAATAAATGTAATTGTGTTTTTCACCTCACAGAGAACACAGGACTGGCAATGCATTAATCTGTTCTGCTCATCAGAAGAACAGTGCCATCTTTGTTTGGGCAATATCCATTGTCAACATCTACAATCTAGTCTGCTGATATATTAATGAAGCAATGGTGTAGTTCCTGGCTGTGTTCACACACACAGCAACTGATACAGATCACCCCTACTGCAGCCTATCACCTTGTGATGTGCTTGACAGTTGCAATGTAGTAGCCTGATCTGAGGAGACTGAGGAAATGCTTCCTCCTGCCTGAAGCAGACAGACAACATCCACTGAGTGTGGTCAACATCACTGGACTGAAGTTCTGTAACTGCTTTTTTAATTCTTCTTTTTAAATTTACTATCAATCATATCTTTAAACATAAGAACATACTGTATAACCAGGGATGAAATGAATGAAAGGGAGAACAAATATAAAGCTGGATGATAAATGTAGATACAAATCTGTAAAATATTCTAAGCCACTAATTTGCAGCAAGTATGCAGGTCATAACTGCTGATTCACTTCTTACATTGAAGAGACTTAGAAAGTATTAAGGTATCACCATTATAGTGAAAGAGCTATCACTTTCAGAAGGAGGTCAGCAATCCATATATATCGCTAAGCACACGTTTCTTGAGATCAGTGGCAGTGGGGACAGATGCTGCATTATTATACAAAGAACTACTGTTCTTGCTGTTAGTGCTGCTTTGCATTCTTCCACATCTTCTCAATTCCCTTTTAGACCTCATGCACATGGGTGCTTAGTGTTGTTTGATATAAAATTCAGGTATATTTCCCCCTATCCAAGAGCCACAGGTGCAGAGTACAGCTGACCAATTAATCCATGGCTGTACATGGGTATACGAAGGTACTTACATAAACATATATATATAGATCTACAACCCTGGATGCAGATTCTCTGTAAGTAGGGGTCATGCACACTGAAAAAATCCCAGAACCTCGTTTATATTATTATTATTATACAGGATTTATATAGCGCCAACAGTTTGCTCAGCGCTTTACAATATAAAGGGAGACAATACAGTTCAATACAAGAGGGATAGGAGGTCCCTGCCCCTTGGAGTTTACAATCTAGGATAATTTATGTGCGTTTATATTTTCTTTGACGCGTTATTTCTGCTCAAAATTGCCTCTTTAAAACGCACTTGTGATTGTTTTGTTTTCTCTCAGCTGGATGTGCTCCTCTGCAAATTTGCATGTAAATGCTCAAATGTACATGGACAAATAGGCTAACATAGACTTGCATATACAGGCTGAAGCAAAAAATGCCAAATGCCTGTATAAGCAGCATTTGTTATGCCCAGTGTGCCCATGAGCCCTTAGTAACACAGATGGGTGTCATCACTGGTCCTGCACTTTAAGTACACAAATTAACAATACCTCTCCAACAGGCAATGCAGCCTGTTGATTAAAAAAATTAAAGCAGTCGTATACTGCATAAAACTTTAGCCGGTAGGTAATCTTTTCAGTGGGGTTTTGTCCCATTTCATTCCATCACATCCTGATGGCATGTTTAATTGTAATGTCAAGGCCATGTTACATGCTTAAAGCCAACCATGCATGGATTGAAATTCAGCAAGTTCAGCAGCTACCGGACAAATTTAGATCCACGTATGGGCAGGCTGGTTGAACACAAGTCGATCTATCAATTGACTTTTGTACAACCAGTCTGACAGATTTCCCCTGCTTGATTAGCACCATTAGTTATAGCCAGTGTCGCTGATCAGTGTATTCTGATAACGAATTTCTCCCCACTGTCACAATGCAATGGGGTCGATTTACTAAAACTGGAGAGTGCAAATTCTGGTGCAGCTGTGTTAGATTAGCTTCTAACTTCAGCTTGTTTAGTTAAACTTTGACAATAAAACCTAGAAGCAGATTGGTTTCTACGCAGAGCTACACCAGATTTTGCACTCTCCAGTTTTAGTATATCAACCCTCATACCTCAGCAGGTAGAATGAGTGTATGGATGGGGGAGTTGAGTAATTGTTTTTTTTGGTCAACCCACTTAGGTGTCCGTTTATGACACACAGAATAGCTGCGATTCAGAGGATCAGAGCTGGAGAATCGGAGGGAACGCAAACTAAGCAGAGATAATTTACCTCTGCTTAGTAAACTGATCTTTTACTGTAATCTTGTGAGATTATAGTAAAATCAGCCGTTTTCCAGCGTTTGTAGACCGTTCTCCCTTCATTTGGAGAACTGATCTACATATGCTTCATAAACGGCATTCACAGGAGAACTGTGTTCTCCTGAGAATGCCAGAGAACTGAGCAGCGATCTATTACTGCTGGTTCATAAACGGACACCTTAATTAGGAGATGATCAGTCTATGTAAAAATCCACACTCACTTCTATAATTTAGTAGAACAGTATCATCGCTAGTCTTGCACGTTCTGTACCCGAATTAGCACACCCCCCCCCCCCCCCCATATACCTCTTTAACATGCTACCTGCTGATAAAATTTTGAAGCAGTCATATGATTTTGGCCAGGAGGTAAGCTGCTCAGTGGGGCTTTTGTTGTTTGTTTTTTTTGAACATTCTTTATTTTATTTTTTAATGTTTATGGTGAAATATAAAAATAATACTGCTCACATACCTGAAGGAGCATCACAGAAAGTTCAATTAAGACATGGATATCAAAAGCTATGGTAACAATACGAGATCCCGCATGAAGGTTGGAGAGCAGGTTAGAAAATAATAAACATTTGACAAGAAGCAGAAAAAAGTAGTACATGCAGGGATGAGAGCTCCAATGTACTCAATTCTCCAAAACCCTTTAGTGGTATAGAGACAAAATTGTTCAAAGTCTGCTTATGAGGGTGCTCCATGAGAATGAAGAATCCTCTGCTTAACCTTTATCTATAATGAGCACTATTTTGTGCATTTGCAGGAAAGAAGTGCATTTTGGACAGCTCACATACTGTATGTGTACCTGCTGTAATTTCTTGTGCTTCAATGGACAAATAATAAGTAAGCCTAGTTGGTGGCAAAGGGTCATCAGTTTGTAAAGGAACTACTAATCCCACTGAGCTCTCTGTTGATCTGTCTGACAAGGAAATCTTCTCTCCTCTATCTTTAAATGAAGGTTGTAATTTCTATTTACAGTATGTAGGGATATAAAATACAGAGGGTGATTCACTGCGTTATATCCTTGAAGCTGCTGCTTGACTACAGAACAGTGAAGGATTATCGTGTTTTTTTTTTTCTAGCCCACAGAAATTGTGTATCAAATTTTATTCACTGTATGTGACAAGGAAGCTTTTAAAGATGTGTCAACTTTGTCTGACCCGATGTTGGCTTCTAGGAGCAGGAAAGATGAACAGGGAGTTACCTCGTTTAACCCTTCTTAAGTCAGGAGATGTGTTCACTTGTAAAACCTGTTGTGCTAATTTAGAATTTATTTGGCATTTTTTATTAGCTCAGAATTAGTGCCTGTACTAAAAACATAATTGTAAAAAAATATTATTGCGTGTACCTGTTTTAAAAGCAATAATGTAAAATAACATTCTAGACATGCGACAGAAAAAGAATACGCCTTACAAAACATGAAAGGTGTAAAACTGAAGTAGATAAACTTCTGTTGCGCACGTGTATAACAGTAAACCTAAGGCCAACATTGTCATGCACCACTGACAATGTTAGGGGGCAGTAAGTGAAAACTTTTTTCCATGTGGCTACAGCAATAAAAACTTGACAGAAGATCCAATCGTTCACTTACAAAATTCAAAGCAAAAAAGCATTTCTTTAATTATACATAGACATTCATTTACATATGTTAGTTTACTGTGTGTAAAGTAACTTTAAATGAATACAGTATATCTTAGTTTACATGTGGCTCATAAACCAAATTAACCCAACTTGATTTATATGTTTTCTTCTCCTCTAGGCTCGGCTCACACTTCTGCGACTTTAGACCTGACTTGTGTGACCCAAAGTCGCAGTGTAATGTCATGTATCTCTATGACACTACTGAAGTTACTGTGACTTCAGAAAAAGTTTTTGCACTACTTTGATCTGACTTTGATATGGCTCCAGTGCCAGAGAGTGTAAAAGTTGTATCAAAGTCACTTCAAAGTTGTATAAAAGTTGGACTCCCAACGTTGCACTGAAAATAGCACAAATTTGGAGTCAGCTAATGTACCAAGCCTTAATCAGGCCCAGATAATCAGGATAGGCCATTCCTGTCAGGGCCTTGGATGGCCAGATTTATGATCTTGTAAAATTCCAATGTTTCAAGTGTTACTAAACCCACAACAGTAAAAAATCAGCCTGTATATGTAGTAAAGCATGCTTGTTATACTCACAGTGGAACCTAAGGAGTTAATCCTCTGCATTGTGTAAAAAGGCCATGTGATCCTTTCTTCTCTGTTCCTCCCCTTTGTCAAGCAACCACCTCTTATCTCCTGATAAGACAGACTGAACCGTAGGTATTTTGCATATGCTCAGTTTGGTGTGTATTGCTAGAGTGGGATTTTTTTTTATCTTGGGAGAGTGCATGTCATCAGCACAGGGCAAATTAGCACTGGTCAGACAGAGGTCAGGGGTTTTGCATCCCCCAGAGCAGAAAGAAAACTGCTCCTACAAGCTTTAGCTAGTGCTTGGCTGAACACTGATAGAAGCCACAAGACTGCTCTAACTTCTGATGAGAATTTAACAGTTTATATTTACTAAAATAATTGCATTTCCATGTTCTGTGTACTGTGGGAGACCAGATATAGTGGATGCAGGGTCTTGGGTTTAGTAACACTTTAATTATTTCTTTCTAACTTCACTCTGTAGTTATGTAGTTTGCTTATACTGTATAGTGTGCCCCCCCTTTTCCCACTGTTGTATAACAACTATGATCAGAAATTTTCCTCCAATTCGCCAGTTGCTGGGTGGTAGAGGTCATTTTGCAGAGGCAACAACAGACACTGATCTCACCTGCAGATTCCAGTCCACAACCCCTCATATGCTGTAGCTGACATAACAGATTTGCCAAGCTGAAATACATTTACGAATGCAAAGAAAAAGTGAGTCCACACAGTGTTGTCTGGGTCTGGGAGAACCAAGGGTTTTAATCAAAGTGGAGTTTTTTCACACAGAAAAAGCAACAGTGCCAAAGGAATATGTGGTGCTCAAGGAGCCTCTTGTAGAGAAGGACTGCTACATAGCATTTGTGGCATCAATCAAATTCAAGTAATGTTACAGTGTTCACGTGAGTGGCTAATTCCCTGATCAAGATGTCATGCCCTGATTTGGGAAATTGTCTTTAAAGTTCCTGAGTATGTCACCCTAGCAAAGAAAACTAAGTGCTGTAGGACATATCCTGGAGCAAAGGCGAATTATGAGGCCTGGAAGCTCTCAATGGTGTTTCAGAAGATGTAACTGTGCAAGCGACTGGGTAATGTTTCTCCCCTTCACTTAATGTATGGCTTTACAGGCTTGGCATGAAAGTCTGTCACTTTTTAGGAATGGGACCTTACAAGTCTTTCAGTAACAGAGAATTTTGAAATTGTTTATGAGATGTGCTTGTGTCATTAGTGGGATATTTCCTTAGAAGGAGTAGCACTATGTACAGTATGTGTCCTATGTGTACTTGTACTATAAAGGTGGCCATAGATGGATTGATATTTGGCCAGTTCAAAAGAGATCGGCTGAATTTTGATACATGTGTTGTTACTACAGTTGAACAGAAGTTGATCTACCCTGTCAGGTGCAACCAATGGCTGCAGATCTGTGTATTCTGACAGTGGGGGAGTCTCCCTGTTGTCAATATACTATAGAGTATTAGGAAGGATTCCCACATCCCCCTCGAATGTGTGGATAGGAAATGTAGTTCAGTTTTTTTTTTTCTCATTACAGCCAGCAGCCAACTGAGCCATCTATGGCCAGCTTAAGGCACACCTACAATATCTGCAGACACATCATGAACATTTTTTTAAAAAGCTAAGCCCCTGCATTGTTCCAGAAGTAGTACTTCTTTGCTGCAGTGCAGACCCCCAGGATCTATTATTCTGGCTATTGATGACTCCCCCCCAGACACACACACACACACAATGATTCTGGGTTACTAATTGTTCTTGTTTCTGGGCAGATCACAAATGGTTTGTTGAATCTCATGTTTGTGTTTTCAGTTTCTGCGAAGTTTATTAGTTCCTGTATTGTGTTGGTTCTGGTTATTAGGTTACATTCACACCTAAGCAGAGTGATTTTGAGGAGTTTTTAAAGGAGGAGGAGTTTTTTTCAGGCGTTTTTGAGCAAATTTGCAAATAATATAAGCGTTTTTCAGTTAGGCGTTTTTGCTGTGGTCAATAGAAATAGCTGCTGTTTAAGCTGAAAACACCTGAAAAAACGCTTGAAAAAAGGTTTATTCCCACTGTTCAGGCATTCTCCATTCAAGTCTATGGGGGCAGAACACTTAGATCTGCCTGAAAAATAGTGCAAGTACCTTTCTGAGCAACAGGCGACTTGCTACAGGCAATAGAATGCTCAAGTATGAACAGGAGCTATTGGAAATAATGGGATCTTACTTGTTGAGCGTTTCTGAGCTTCAAGCTGAAAAACGCTAAAGTATGAACGGCGTCTAAATGTCTTTGAAAACTGTGACTTTAGAAATTTACACACTACCCGATGTGAGGCTGTGTTTCTTTTTGTAACAGTATTAAAATGTTGAACTTAATCATTCTGTCTGGCTAGGTTCTGTCCAATTAATATATTTAAAAAAGTGTTCAGACGGGGTATTGAATATAATAAATGGGAGTAAAATGAATCTGGTAATGGCTTAATAAAACAGGTGAGGTATCTTAGTCTGTCTGCCTGGATTCTTGGAGCTGGGCCAGATTGATTTGTCAAAGAGAAAATGTGCTTGTATTGTTACACAGTGATGATTTCATCCATTTAAAGCTTTGAATTCACCATTTTTTACTTTCATAATATGAGCTGTGGCATACTATGAAGTATGCAGAGTAATGACAGAGCTTTCCCAGTACAATTATTGCCAATGTGCTTCATATAATATAGCACATATATTATTTAGGTGAACTGTATGCACAAATTTTAGTGGTCACATATTATTATGTTTTACTGGATAATAATAGCTAATTCCATCATACAAGTAAAGCTTTTTAACCGCTTCCTGTCCGCTCTATAGCAGATACACTGCTACAGGGTGGCACGGGTGCGCCCTACCCGCACTGCCATGTGCGGCTGTCAGTCACCGGGTCCCGGCCGGTGATTACTCGCCAGCGCCCGGTGATTGCTGAGGATCTCCGACGGGGGGAGAATTGTTAGTAAACAAAACAGTTCTCCTCCCTGTCAGCTCGTGCACACTGCTTTCACAGCCATGCAAAGCCGTGTGCTTACAGTGAAGCACACAGACATAGCCCTACAGTAAAACAGTTAACCCTTTGATCGTCCCAGATGTTAACCCCTTCCTGCCCAGTGCCATTAGCATACTGTCAGTGCTTTTTATTAGCACTGATCACTGTATTGGTGTCACTGGTCATTTCCCCCCAGTGTCACAGTCCTGCGATCTTGCTTTAAGTTGCTGATCGCCGCTATTACTAGAAAAAAAAAATCCCAGTATATATACCGCCATATGTAAATGATATAACTTTCACGTAAACCAATTAATTTACACGTATTGGGATTTTTTTTAGTAAAGACATGCAGCAGAATACATTTTGGCCTAAATTTATGACGAAATTTGATTTTTTGAAATTTTTTACTGGACATGTTTAATAGCAAAAAGTTAAAAATATTATTTTTTTCTCAAAATTGTTGGTCATTTTTTTTTTTTTTTATAGCGCAAAAAATTAAAAATGCACAGGCAAACAAATACCACCGAAAGAAAGCTCAATTTGTGGGAAAAGGTGCAAATTTAATTTGGGTGCAGTGTTGCATGACCGTGCAATTGTCAGTTAAAGTAATGGAGCACCGTAACGCAAAAAAATGGCCTGGTCAGGAAAGGGGGTAAATCCTCTGGAGCAAGTGGTTTAGCAATGTAAGATACTTTAAAAAAAATGCAATATTTTGTTTTCGACAAAGATGAATTTTCTCCTAAATGAGAATTATGGGATACACAATAAGGAAAAAAAATATATACCCATCTGCAATATCTGTGTAACACTGCAGTTACCCCATGCTGGCCTTAAGACCAAGAGCTGACAGATAACATAACCGCTGATCGGTCAGCTCTTGGCATGTTTTCAGGGGAGAACACTGCACTGTACCTCACTCTGCTACTCTGGTATCCCTCCAGGATACCAGAGTCTGGGAAGGGGAGCAAGTGTGACTGGCTCTAGCTTTCAGCTGCATGCCAAAAGGCAGAGCTAGCTGTCATCCAGGCAGATGGGTGGATACAAACAATATTTATTTCAGGTCATTTTATAGCACTGTCAATTTACAAAGCGTTTTACATATATATTATACATTCATATCAGTCCCTAGCCGTCAAGGGGCTTACAATCTAAGGTCCCTAACTTACTTACATATACTAGGGCCAATTTAGACAGGATCCATTTAACCTACCAGCATGTCTTTGGAGTGTGGGAGGAATCAGAGTACCTGGAGGAAACCCACTCAGGCACAGGGAGAACATGCAAACTCCAGGCAGGGGGTGCCATGGTTGGGATTTGAACCAACAACCCTAGTACTGCCAGGCGGAAGTGCTAACCATTTAGCCACTGTGCTGCCCATTGTCTGGATCTTTCCTAAACTTTTAGCACCTCTTCCCCCTCTGCTGATAGCAAACAATAGCCTGCTATGTGTTGTCTTTGGGTCACAGGAGGTCATTAGTAAGTGTTCTCCTGTGACCCAGCAGAGAAATATAGCCAAAAAAATCTTTGTTCATACTTCTCTTTTAATGGCAACTGAACTACCTGCTCAAAAGACCATGCATCATGGAGATTACTTCATCTACTGAGACTCCAGTAATTATGTGCTTCCAGTTGCCAGCAAGAGGACAAATGGCAGATTACTTTAGGCAGTGGCTGCCCAATATAGTCCTTGAAGGCCAGGCTCTCAGAGCATTGTAGAGTTTTGCAACAGTTGGGTCTCCGGTTCAAATTCTGGTCACGATGCTATCTGCATGAAATTAGTATGTTCTCTCTGTGTTTGCAATGGTTGCCTTCCACACTCCAAAATGTTGTTGGTAGTTTCACAGACTCCTATCTAAATTGACCCTAGTATGTGTGTGTATATTAGCTTTGGAGATAGGGACCTTAACCCCCCTGGCGGTATTCCCGAGTGTAGCTCGGGGTTAACTTTCAGTACCAAAAGCGGTAACCCCGAGCTACACTCGAGATTACCCTGCAGCGTGTCTCAGGGATTACCTCTTGCACTTACCTTGTCCTGTGCTCCCGCGATGTCCCCCCTGCAGCGTTCCCAGTCAATTCTTCCGGCCGATGCCGGCATCCGTCTTCCGGTCCCTGCGAGCATCGGAACGTAAGGGACATACGGGGGACAGAACCAGCGGGAAATTTAAAAATGTTAAAAGTGACATTCACTAAATACACTAAAATCACATAGTATAACATTACTGTATCAAACCATTTCACATACATTTTGTCCCTAGTGCTTTGTCCTGTGCCCTGCTTGCATTTTTACTGTTCTTTCTGCCTGGAAACTGAGAAATGTCCATGGCATCCAAAAAGCGTCCCTTTATGTCAAAAGCGGTTTTAGACCAGCTAGAGAACAGCAATAGTAAATTAGAACTACTTGCAGAATTGAGTGATAATGATTCGTGGGGAAATTCGTCATCAGACACTGAAAACGATTGCTCAGTGATGTGTGAACTTGGCGATCTATTTAAAATGTCAGTGTTTTTGGTTTGATTATATTATTGAATTAAATGTATTATTATTATATTATTATTTTTTTTATGATTATTTATTATATTATAATTTATGATTTCGTGTTTCAAATTTTATCATACCCGGGATGTTTACTAGACTCTTGTTCGGACAGATTTCAGTGAGTTATTCCTAAAATTACAGGCCTACAATAAAAAAATGACATATTTCCATGCACAAAAATGTACCGCTTTGAGCACAGAAATATTGACATAATCATACCGCTAGGGAGGTTAAGTTGTAAATTCCTTGAGAGCAGGGACGGATGTAAATGTACAGCTTGCAAAGTGCTGCCTAAATTGTCAGTATTATAAAATAATTAGTAAGGTTCATTTTACTAAAAACCTTTTGTGTCAGTTCATTACACAGAATATGTTTGGGCTTTTCTTACTTGCTTTGCTTAGCACCCAAACATCCCAACTTCTACGTCTGCCTAGTAATTCTGAGGCTAGGGGAGGGAGGACTGAGACTTTTGTAGTAATGTGTACTGTCTAAAAGTAAACAATTCCTTTGATGTGTCTAAAGGGATACATTTAGACTGGGAATTATTGGAAAAAATGTTCCATCTATATAATGAATAGACATATCGGCACATTAAAAAGAGCATGCAGCAAAGTACTACAGTATTTCAAGGTCATTTAGTTAAACATATGTTTTCACATTGAGATCGCTGCCTGTGCCACATTACGAAAAGCCAGCTATTAGCCTGTTACTGTATGTACAACTCAACCTTTGATTTTCCTTTTAAACAAGAATAATATGCAAATGTCAGAGGTGACATGCAAAGCTGTGAATAAACATGCACATCTTTCAGAGAGAGATGGCATTCTTGCTAGGCGTCTTCCATGTTGTCATGGATACTAACGCATGGGGCCCCAGAGATTGGAGCCTGGAATTAATGGCCATCCCGAGTAAAGGATTCCTGTCTTGGCTAAATTGATGGATTACACTGATGTGCCATTTGTCATACTGTAATTGTTCTGGCAAATGTTATACCCACTAGTATAAACATTGTGCTGCTTTGCTAACAAAACTGAAATGGGAAAAGAAAAGATGATATAGTATTACATACTGTTAAAGGGATGCTGTTTATTTTCCACTGCCAGGAGACATTATGAATCGTCATTTTCTTTTACTTCCTTGCTTCATAGAAATGTTACTTGTCTTAGACCAAGGTATTTGTCCCACAGTAGCAACAGAGGCCCAAAAACTGGTTTTGTGGGGGTATGTGCAATTGTTTCATGCTTTCAGGCCTCAAAGGCTGCGAGCTGCTTTTCGTTTCATTTTATCATCACATCCTTGTTTATGGGCATACAAAAAGTATGTTTAAAATCCAGTCTGTTGGAGTTACTTTTGTTTTTATGGTTGTTTTGCTATTTACTGTATCTTAAACAGTGAATAATGACAATAATAGCATGGAAGCATGGGAATTTCCCAGAATTCCATTATCCATCTTGTGTTGTTCAAGAATCATTCATTTTGGATCAGTTTTGGATCCAGAAGGCCTGAGAGTCAGGTTCCATAATTTTCAAAGTGAAACTAAAGCTTTCTAATTGGGGATGTGGATTGTTAGAACCTCTCTCAGGTTTTTATCACTGTCTGCATCACTGCTTGCAAGATTAAACACTAGCTTCATGTCCCAGTGCATGTAAACCCAAAACTTTTTTTTATTGAGTTTAGAGTTGGGAAGGATTATAATATCTGTCAGGTCTTATATTGCTCTCTGTATCCGCTCTGTAGAAATTGACTCTTTGTAATCTTATTTGTGACCTTTGCCACTGAATGTAGTGGACCCGAACAGGAATAGATGGGAAATCTCCCAACTGGGACACTTGTTCTGGCGATGGCTGTCTAAGAGGTTATTTTCCCTTACTTTGGAAATATTTCCTGTTACCTCCTGTACTAACTATTGGATAGAAAATTAAGGCTATAGCTTTCCAACAGGACACAGACATCAATAAAACACCTGGTGTTGTGACTATTCTACACTCTAAATCAAAAGAAAAAAAACCTTTTGCATTACATGAACTTTAAAACCTGGCAAATGGCCTAACATTTCCCAATTTCCATACAAAATTTTGGTTTTCATTGTACTTTAACTACAGGTTCATATAACCGTACCACTGACTCCTGAAGGAGCTGCTGAGATGTTCGGTTCTCCTGCCCTTCCCAGTGGTGACCCACCCCAACACTCACCAATGTGCTAGTGCAGATAGGGTTTTATTAGGGCCTGGAAAAGTCCCGCAAAGGACAGTTACAGCAACACCAGGGCTAATCCAAAACTCAGTGCAAGAACAAACAATTCTTAATTCCAGCTCTTTGACTTTCATTATCTCTTATAGGCTCTTTAACCCTTTTCGTTGTCAGAGTTGTTTTTTGCATTTTTTGCACACATGTTTAAAAAATTATTTCAGGTCTGGAGATTGCACAATACTCCTAAATCAGACACCCTAGAGAATAAAAGAGTGGTAGTTCCAATTTCTTATGTAACACGATATTAGCACAAAGGTCTAGGAAAAGCTAAATTTCAGTAAAAAAACACAATAAAGTGAATTTTGGGGCAATCAAATGCAATAAATTACCCACATTTTTTGGTAAAATACAAAAGATGAGGTTGCACCGAGAAAATAGATACCTAAAATGTCAAACCTTAAATTTGCATGCGCCCATGAAATGGCGACAAACTACACTATGTTTTCTATAGGTGACTTTTCAAAAGCCCCTTATAGCTCATCAGTTTAGTGTTACATCTGGTGTTAGAATTATTGCTCGCGGCAATATGTATCATGTGTATCACAATTGATGTCACGTGTAGGCGT